CAATTTATGAACAATTACAATGCCCGTGCCTTAACTTGGACCTTTCATAAATGAAAATGTTTTCATATTTTTAAGTACTCTTTTTCACTTTAGGCTAGGGATGACCAGTAACACAAAACTGATACCAACATTCAATACAGTAATTATGTTTTCAGTGCTTTAAGTCCCTAAGACATTGGAGACTCAAAGCTGGTTAAGACATAGTCCCTGACCTCAACACATTGACAGTCTCACTGAAGCATTTAACAGGAGTAAATGGAATGAAAGATAGAGAGCCTATGAAAAACTCCATAGTCCTGGTAAAAGCAGGACCCAGCGGGTAACAGAGGAGCAGCTATTTCATCCTGGCTGGGAGCATCAAGGGAGGTTTCCTGGGAAGATGGCATTTAAATGAGTCCTGGAATGGGTAGGCATCCTCTGGGTGAGGCTCCTTCAGCTTCTGAGTGTGATAGAAGTTCATTCTACAGTAGGAAGAGGAAGATAGGGCTTTAGGGTCTAATGTTAGCCTTCCTTAGAGTTGAAAATTGCCCTCAGAAAATTCCTTAAGTTTCTTGAAAGGGACCAGCAGGTGGTACAGTGGTTATGGCCCTAGAGTCCCACATGGCTGACTGCCAACTGTTCGAGTCCCAAACCCAGCGGCCTCAAAGTCATGCTGGATGTGTGTGCTTGCCCAAAGTCCACGAGGAGACTGGAGGAAAAGGGATTGTGGCCTGGCCACCCCCCGGGGAGTGATTTCTCACATGCCCTATACCAAAAATCTCTCTTAAAAAAAAAAAAAAGTTTCCTGTGAGGTTTTGTGCTATTATACTGTACATTAGATATTAGAAATTGTTAAAACTGTATAACAATTTATGTGCGTATTGCAAGCTGAGAACTGAAACCCATATATAGAAATGCTCATTCTAAGCCTGCTTCTGAAGTATTCCCGATTTCCCATGGGATTTACTCTATTCTGTTTTCACAGTGAAACTCTATACCCAATGCATATTAATAGATGCGTTTGTGTGTAAGGGTTAAACAAGTAAATGTGTGAGGGACCTTGAAGTGAGTAGGTAGTCCTAGCTCAGTAATGTTCGTGGAGTTTGAATCCAGAGGTCTGACGTATACCTTGTTCTTTGAAAATGTTGTCAAGGAAAACTTGGCCACCTACTTCCTGTCTTTCTAAAATGGCATTTCCTCTAGTGGCTGTGCTGACCAGATGTCCTCGTCTTCTCAGACATCAATCAAGTGAGCCCTTTCAAGAAACCACATCCTATTCGGAGGTTTAGGACCTGAAGTCGATTGCTGTACTGTGCGACTCCCTCTTCCTGAGCTAGCAGGACAGACTGTGAGCGCCTTCAGTGGCCGAGAAGTTCTGTAGAGGGAAGGCTGAAAGGAGTGTCTTCACTCCTCCAAGCCCCCGGCATTGTCTCCTTTCGTACATTGGACCCACTTGAGTGTGATAGACTTAGACAGCTGGCTCTCAGAATTGCTTACTAGATCTAGGATTTATGTTGGATGCCCTGAGATGGGGTGAGGAACAGCTGTGTGAATTTCGCTGCTGCATTTCCAATAAACACGTTGAGGACCTTCACTAGGACGTAAATCTCTCAGTGAGAAACTTTTAAATAAATTTACTTGCATTGTAATTTCATGTATTTTCTCCTTTTGAGGCTATAGATTATAGAACTGATCATGTTTACCCTTTTTTGAACTGGTTACCTGGAAGCTCTGAGCCAATCGAAAGTTTTTCCTTGATTATAAAAGAAATACCGACTCATGCCTAAGGTGAAAAATACAGAAAAGTTTCAAGGAGAAAGTACTTGGCTCATAGCATGAGCGTGTTGGGTTCGAGGTGACTGTTTGAAGACGGTGTCATCAGTAAGCAGCGCAGAGGGAGGAATGGTCGATTTTAAGTTGCCGAAGCACTTTGTAACGTGTCGTAGCACACAGGTGGTAGAATTGTCATTTTAGATTATATAGCAAAGTCCTGGAATTTAAGCGAAGGTTAATATATTTAGGTTGGAATAACCACAATGACTGCAGTAGGTGTCACTGATGAACCCCTACCATGTTCCAGGCACTAGAAGAATCATTTCAAGACCGTTTTACCGCTTTATTAAATTCCCTTGTGCTGCCATCACGTTCCATTGCTGGCTCGTGGTCGGTGCAGCGCCTCTAGCAGTCTGAGCAGAGCTGGAGGAAGCAGTGGTTCTGCATGGAATCTGGTGATGAGCGCAGTCATGGATCCGCACTGCCGCCACTCACCACGGAACACTGGACTTCGACGTATATGGAACTGTTCTTTGTATCGGTTTCTTCATGTGTAAAATGGGGGTGACCGTGCTACATGGAGTTGTTACGAAGATAAAGTAGCACCGATAAGGACTCAAACAGGCTTGGGCACTGAGCTCTAGTCAGATAAGTAGCCTTCGAAGCTCTGTCTCATTCTGTACAGACTAGCAGGGCATTTGACCAGACACATCGAATAGCGTATCAATTCTTATAGCCCAGTGATTGCTGTGGCTTCATGGCAGTGGGGGCTCCGAGGAAGAACTGGGGTATTTAGAACTCCTCAGGCCACTTCAAACAGGTTTTTAAATGGTTGGTTGTGCTGTATTTAACAGGCATAATTTTTCTGTTTTGTGCTTGTGGGTTTATCCTTTCTTACCTCCCTGATTCACAGGACATTTCCACGTTTTGATTTAACTGTTACTTCATGTCTGTGTATCTATGTAGCTGAGACACTTTGTTTTTGTTTGTTTCTGTTGTTTTTGTTCTTTTTTATTTATTTATTTTTTTTGCCTGCTTTCTGTAACTTTACAAAGACAGATTTTAAAATTTCATAGGTCATATTATTTTGGAACACAGATTTGATAGAGCTTATGTTTGTCCTGCAAAATTACCTAAAGTTGAGATATTGGGTAGTTGTGGGACCAGTGGTTAGTGTAATGGCTATGTCGCTGGACTTGCACGTAGTCAACCGTGGTTCGAGTCCCGGACCTGGTGGCTTAAACTCACGCCGGGCGCGTGTGCATGCGTGCCCAAGATCCCGAGAGGAGAATGGAGGAGAAGGGATTGCGGTGTGGCCATCCCCCCTGGGGGGTGATTTCTCGCTTTCTGTCTCTCTGTCTCTCTCTCTGTCTTTCTGGGGAGTGCACG